CCTTCTTTCTCTCTCCCTCTCTTTCACTACAGTGTCCTCTCTACAGGAATTAGCAATTTATCTTTTTTTTACCTTTTATTTCCTAGGACTTTAGGTTTTCGGAAATCTATCAATAACATACATAGTTCACTGTCCTCTCTAGAGGAGCTGGCAATTTACCTTTTTCTCCCTTTTTTCCACAGGTTTTGGGAAATCTATCAAATGACATACATAGTCCACTGTTCTTTCCAGAGGAGTTAGCAATTTACCTTTTCTGAGGGGAGGGCAGACCTTAATTGGGAAATCTTTATTAAGTTAGATCTGCATCTGCTCCGTAATTGACTATCATAGAGTTGTCCCTCCCCCCGCCCCCTTTGACAGTTTATGTAACTTGCTCAAGGTCAAAAGTCGGAGGGCAGAACTAGAACTCAGAGCGTCTGTTCTCCGAGGAAGTCACTTCGGGAAGCCCGCCCAGACCGCCCCCTCCCCACCCAGAACCTATTTACAAATCCGAACCCCCAAAGCTCGAGTCAGGGCTCCAGTTGCGTAGTCAGGACGGTCGCCCACCCGACCGGTCCACCCTCCACGCTGGATAGCTCGCAGGCCAGACACCAGGCTGCCGGTTCCCAGCTCAGGCGGGAGGCTCCCGGGGCGGGGGTGGCGGCTGGCGCAGATGAGGACCCGGAGCTGGGGCACGCCCAGGGGGCGGGTTACCGCCCGCGGGGGGCGGGCCCCCCGCTGAGCCACCGCCCAGCAGAGCTGGGCGGGCCAGGGGCGTCCTGCTCCAAGGCCTGGGCTCCGGCTCCCGCCCCCGCCTCGGTCATGGCGGGGCCCTACGGGCTGTCGGTGCGAGATCTGAACGAACTGCTGTCGGAGGGCGGCAGCTACAGCTTTCCGAGCGAGTCCTGCAACGAGGTGATCCCCAGGATCTACGTGGGCAACGCGTGAGTTACGGGGTGGGGTGGGGGCTCGGGCCCAAGACGACCCCCCACCCCCATCCCCGGACATGCTCCCCCAGCTCCCCCTTGTGGCTGTATCCTCCCTGGGGGAGGGGAGCAGCCTGCCCTTAGCTCTGGATGGTTAAGTGCATTCTCCACCCCACCCCCATCCCCGAAAAGGTCAAGTTCATTGTTACCCCGGGGCTGTAAAAATCAAGTTTATTGACAACCCCTGGTTTGGAAAGGTGAAATGCATTGCCACCCCCGGTTTGGGAAGTAAAGGTGAGCCTGGACTGGGCTGGGCAAGGTCAGGGTGTAGAGAATGTGAGCTTGAAGCTGGCAGGGGCGTCCAGCTGCCTCGGAGTCGGGGTGGGGCAGGTCTATTTTGGGGGGGTGCAGGTTGGCATTTTCATTAACAGGTGACCTAGCGAGTCCGCTTTTTGGTTTGTCATGTGATAATTGCTGCCAGAATCTGCAGTGAAAGTCACGACAAATTTCTGAAATTCTTGCCCCAGCCCCTGTGGGGACTGATGTCATAGACTCAGAATTAGAACTTTGCCTGCCAGGGAACTCTAAAAAGGGGAACTGAAACTCTGTAAGGGCATTTCAGAGCAGGGCTTGTGAGCTGCCCTGGGCCCACCTTTCCAGGGAGCCAGGCAGTCACATTACCCTCTACTCTCCACCTAGAGTTTTGCTTTGTGGGGGGTGTCTACTAAATACTACTACTACTACTACTGCAACTAGCTAACATTTACATGGGGCAGCTACCCTTTACATGATGAGATTACATGATTTTACAAATGAGAAACTATCTCATTTGATGAATTAGGTGCTATTTTCCCCCTTCCCCCACCCCACCCCCATTTTATGATGAGGAAACAGACTGAGAGAGGTTAAGTCACAAGATTATACAGCTAGTAAGTGTCTGAGTCAGGGTTTGAACTCAGGTTTTCCTGACTCCCTAGTCCAACCCTCTACTCACTGTGCCACCTAAATTAGATGAATCTGGCAGCCATACAAGGGTCATATTTGGTGGTAAGTTGGGGAGAGGAAGGTAGTAGAGGCAAAAGCATCTGGTAGGAAGCTGTTCAAGTCAGCTTTCCACAAGTGTGGCATTTAAACACTTTTTACATATGTACAAGACACTCCTGAGTGCTGGAGCTACTGGTACAGACCCTTTTCTCATGGAGCTATTATCTCATGAGGGAAGATTGTCTCAAATAACTTTGAGTCAGGGGAGGGTAAGAGGAGGGCAAAGGGGAGGCCAGGAAAGTGCAGTGAGGAATTTGAGGAGGAAGAGGTCTTTTTCACATAGGGGAGATTTGGGGAGGGGCAGGGAAGAATCTGTAAAGTGGGGGTGTCTAAGGTGGGCCTTGAGAAGGGAGGACTCCCAGCAGCCAGAGATGGGCATCGAGGTGGGGAGTCATCCAAGGCGCTGGGGAGAAGAGAAGATGGGATGAGAAGGGGTGGTGGAGACAGTGGTCCAGTTTGGCAAGAACGTGGAATGAATGAAGGGGAAGAAGAATGGGGTCAGGCTGGCCAGCTAGATTAGCGTTGCATTATAGAAGGGATGGGCTGCCAAGATCAGGAGTCTGTACTTATTTAGTAGGCAGTGTGGAACCACTGAAGTGTGAGTGTGACATGATCACCGAGAGAGATGCCTTAGAAAGATTACTTAAGCAGCAGTAAGAAGGATATACAGAGGAAGGGATAGACAAGGGAAGGGAAGGGAGTGAACATTTAGCAAGCACCTACTATGTGTGCCAGACCCTGTGCTAAGCACTTTACAAATACTACCTTATTGGATCCCAACAAGAACTCTGGAAGGAAGGAAAGTGTTACTGTGATCCCCATTTTATATTTGAGGAAGCCAAGGCAGACAAAGGTTAAATTCATTGGCCCTGGGGGGTCACACAGTAAGTATCTAAGGATGGATTGGAACTCCATTCTTTCTGACTCCAGGCTCAGCATTCTCTTCCTCTCAACCACCTAGTTGCCTCTAGCTAACCGGAATTGGGAAGACCATTTAGGGAAGCCACTATAATGGTCTAGGCTAGAGGACGTGAGGGAAGAAGTTGGGGTTGTACTGTATGCCAGGCCAGGGGCAGCTAGGTGGCGCACTGGATAGAGCTCCAGGCCTGGACTGAGGAAGAACTGAGTTCAAATCCAGCCTCTGATACTTACTGGCTGTGTGACTCTAGGCAAGTCACTTAACCCTGTTTGTCTCATCTGTAAAATGAGCTGGAGGAAGAAATGGCAAACCATTCCAGTATCTTTGCCAAGAAGACCCCAAATGAAGAGTTGGACATGACTGAACAACGTGCTAGGCACTGTACTAGGCACTGAAGACAAAAGACAAAAATGAAACCACTCCTGGCCTTAAGGAGCTTACAGTCTCTCTGGGAAAACAGAACACATACATATAGAGCCATAGATTAAGACCTAAAAAGGATCTTAGAGGCCTTTGGGTCCAACCTCCCAATTTTACAGATCAGGAAATTGAGACACAGAAAGATTAAACGGCTTGCCCAGGGTTATAAAGCTAGTAAGTGACGAATCTTTCCAACTCTGTCCAGGGTTTTATTTATCTACCATGCTACCTCACAATGTAATTATACATAAAATCAATACAAGGCAGTTTCCAAGTGGGAGGAATCAGGGAGGGCCCCAGGTAGGAAGGCACCTGAGCTGAGCCTTGGAGAAAACCAGGGATTCTAAGAGGTGGAGGTGAGGAAGGAGGGCATCGAAGGCATGGGAGGTGGGGGTGGGGAGGCAGTCTGCAAAGGCACAAAGTTGGGGGCGATAGACTCTCATGTGTGAGGAACAGCAGGAAAACCAGTTGGATTATAGAGTATTTGAAGGGGAGAAGCGATTTGTAAAAAAGCCTAGAAAAGTAGGTTGTGACCAGATTGTAAAAGGGGCCTTTAAATGATCATTTTTGTTGTTGTTCAGTCTTGTCCAATTCTTTGTGACCCCATTTGGGGGTTTTCTTGGCAAAGATACCAGAGCTGTTTGTCATTTCCTTCTCCGGCTCATTTTATAGATGAGGAAACTGAGGCAGACAGGGTTAAGTGACTTGACCAGGGTCACACAGCTAGTACATATGAGGCTAGATTTGAACTCGGGGAGATGAGTCTTCCTGACTCCAGGCCTGGCAGTTTATCCTACTGTACTACCCTAGCTGTCCCTAAGATGACAATTAGTAAAGTTTAAATTTAATCTTAGGAAAGGCAAAAGGGAGTCACTGCAGCTTAATGAGTCATGGTCAGCACTGGGGATACAGATAGAAAAGGTGAGTTTGTGCTCCCAAGGAAGTCTCACTCAGAGTCAACTTTATGTAAGAGAGTTCTGCTGTAGGCCTCATGGCAAGGACCCAGATTCCACAGGCTGCACCAGAAAGGCAGTCTGTCAATGCTTGGGCGGGAGCGGGGCATCCATGGTAGGGTAGATGATAAGGCCTAGTGGTCCTCCGTCTTACTGAAAGGCTTATAGGCAGTGACTCCTAGCTCATCCTACTGATGTGAGCAGCCATGTTGCTCCTCAGGATGGATCATTGAAGCCATGGGACTGGGTGAGATCACTGCTCCGAGAACACGGAGAAGAGGGCTAGGGAGAGAACTTTATGGGACCCCCACATCTGAGAGCAGGTGAAGGATGTGGGCCAAGACATGAGAGGATTCTGAGAGATAGCAAGTGAGTCATGGAGTGTGTTGTCATGGAAACTAAGGGAGGAGAGGAAGGTAGCAGTTAAGAGGGGATGGCTACTGCAGAGGCTATGGACTCAAAAAAAAAGCCACTCATTGTATTTAGTGACTTTGGGGGAAACTGTCTCAGTGGAGTGCTGGGGAGAGTAGACATTGTAAGGAGCTGAGTGGATGATGGGGAAGTGGAGGAAACAAGTGTAGATTACTCTCAACATTTGTCAGTGATGGGGAGGAGAGAAGAGAGCAACATTTGAGGGGTAGCTGAGTCAAAGGAAGATTTTTTAAGGAGAGAGGCGATCTGAGCATACTCTTTTAGGTTGAGTAGAAGGAATCAGTAGAAAGGATGATATTGAAGCTATGTTAGAAAGAAAATGATTGCTAGAGCAAGATCACAGAGCAGATAGGAGGGAAGGATCCAAGGTTTATTGATGGAGGAGGTTATTGTCATCAAGGAAAAGATTCACCCTTTGCTTAGAAACTGGAAATACAGAGAGAATTGCAGTAGTCTAAGTGGGTGGTACCCACAGCCTAGGCTAGGATGGTGGCACTGGGAGTAGAAAAGAAGGGATGGCTTTAAAAGATGCTGCTGAGAGGTGGAACCAACAGATTGAATGTGGGAGGTAAAGGAGAGGGAAGAATAATTCCAAGATTGTGAACACAGGAAGTTGGGTAAATGCCAGTGCCATTGGACAAAAATAGGGAAATCAGAAGGAGGCATAGGTTTTGGGGATATGGTAATATATTTATCATTAATTATATACTACATATTATATAATATAGTATATCATGTATATATTATATTTATAATATTTATTTATTATATTTATTATATTTATAATTATATACCATATACTATAATATATAATTTATATAATTATATATAATTTATATATTAATTATGATTAATATTTATTAAGCACCTGATTTGGGCCAGGTACTGTTTTTCTAAGTGCTAGGGGGTCAAAGAAAGGTAAAAATAATCTTTGTCTTCAATGAGCTTAAAATGCCAATGCGGGAAGAAACTTGTAAATAAATTAGTACATCCAGCGTAGATGGAGGGTAAGGGGAAGACTCTAGCCAGTGGGGGATATATTATTATGGTTGAGGCACTAGGCAAATGTCCAGATGGAGATCTCTTATAATGTGTATTTGGAGATGTGGGTCTGGAGCTTGGGAGACAGGCTTAGAGATAGAGTTTTGGGAGCCGTCTATATAGGGGTCATGGTGGAAGTCCTGGGAGCAAATAGGACTCCCAAGGGAGAGAAGAGAGTGAAGAAAGGGAAGAGAGTTGATGACCCAAATTGGAGGAATGCCTGCCTGTAGGAGAGGAGACCTAGGAAGAGTGGTTAGCCCACCAGGAGGGGAATGCATAGATGCCACACAAGTAGAGGGAGGAGTGAGATTCAAGTGTTAAATGCTGCAGAGGGGCCCAGGAAAATTCTGAGAAAAGGCCACTGGATTCAGGGAGAAGTGGGTCTTTGGAGACCTGGTCACCTTGGAGAGAGCACTATCCATAGGGAAAGAGCATTATAGACAGAGCGAGGAACATCATGGGAGAGGGGATGGAGTGTTGGACTTATCATCGGATAGACCTGGCTTTTCCATTTTTGTGTTAACACAAGGAAATCGGGCTCAGTGGACCCTTAAGGTCTCTTTAGCTCTACATCTGGTCCTCTAATCCCACCTCAAACATTTGCTAGTATGGCCAAATCACTTAACCTTTTTGAGCCATTAACTAGAAAATGGTGGGAGTGGGGGTGGGGGAGAATAATGTCATATTCCCCCACAGGGTAGAAAGATGAGGTTTGAAAGAGATAGTATGTGTGCATAAAATACTTCACAGATCTTGTAGCACAACAGAAATAGTCACAAGAACAATAATAGCTAAGATTTATGGAGCACTTTAAGGTTTGCAAAGTGCTTTACATGTATTATCTCGTTTGAGTCTCATAGCAAGCCTGAGGTAGATGCTGTTATTGCCCTCATTTTACAGATGAAGAAACCGAGGCCCAGAGAAGTTAAGGCCCAGGGTCATGAAGCTAGTGAATGTCTGAGGAACAATTTGAACTCAGACCTTCCTGACTCCAAGTTGAGCACTCTGAAATGTTAGTTGCTGCTGCTGTTGCTTCCAGGACATAGTGAGGGTGGAAGCCAGGTTGGAAGGGGTTGAGGAGAGGATGGGTGGAATGGAAGAGTATAGATTACTTTTTCTTTTTAAAAATTTTATTGGTATCTTTTGTTTTCACATGGCTTTCATTTCTAAATATCTCTTTCCCTTTTCCCCTGCCCTTCTCATAACAAAAAAATAAAAGAAGGAAAAGTAGCTTAGTAATACTAACCAAAACATCAACTGATGAGTACTTTTTCAAGGAATTTAGGGGTAAAGGGGGAAAATAGAAGGGAGGGAAGGAAAGAGGAAAGAGAAAGAGGAGAAAGGATGGAGGGGGGAGAGAGGGAGGAAGGGAGATGGGGAGGAAGAGAGAGGCATAAGAGGGGAGAAAGAGAAGAGGGAAGGGGTGGAGAGAGAGAAAGAGCCAGAGAGAGACAGAGAGAGAGACAGAAAAAGACAGAGAGAAGAGAGGCAGAGAGAGACAGAGAGAAAAAGGGAGAGAGAAAAAGAAGAGGGAAGAGAGGGGAGACAGAGACAGAGACAGAAAGAAAAGAGGAGAGAGATGGAGACAGAGAGAGATTTAAAAAATGTTTATTATGTACAAAGCACTGTGCTGAGCACTGCAGATACAAAAACAAGAAATAAGACAGTTTCTACTTCCAGATGTTCACATTTTAATAGGAGCAGACAACTCTTAGAGGAATTTCAGCTGCGAGTAAGGCAAGGTATTTGCTTCTGTAGACCGACAGAAGGCATGAGAGGTAGCTGCTGAGTTTTACTAACAAATTGAGTCAGACAGGAGCCTTGTGAAAGCAGTCCTCCATCTCTCCCACCCCTGGGGCTGTGCAAGCTGTCACATGCATGATTCATTCTCTGGTCCTCCTTGCCATGCAGGACTGTGGCGCAGGACATCTCCAGGTTGAAGCATCTGGGTATCACACATGTGCTGAATGCTGCCGAGGGGAAGTCCTTCATGCATGTGAACACCACTGCCCAGTTCTACGAAGGTACCAACATCACCTACCTTGGCATCAAAGCCAACGACACCGAGGAGTTCAACCTCAGTATTTTCTTCGAGAAGGCGGCAGAGTTCATTGACAAAGCCCTGACCCGGAAGGATGGTAAGGACAGCTCCCGAAGCATCATTATTGCCCCAGGAACAGGCAAGGAGCTGGTGCTCTATTAGGATGGGGTGGAAGTCACCAGGAGGACATAGGGCTCTCTCGAGGCATACCTGTCTGCTTAGCGAGTGGGCCCCAAACCCTCCTAGACCACTGAACTTTATCCTTGATCAGCACTCTGACTTAGGCCTTGAGAAGTGACTCTTTTTCTAGTCATTACTATTATTTAAATAATGCATTGCCCGTGGACTAATTATACAGAATGAAACACATTATTGGGCATGACCAGTGTAGGAATTTGTTTTGTTTGACTATGTATATTGGTTACAGGGTTTTTTGTGCTGTTGTTGTTGTTTTTTTTTTCCTTTTAAACTGGGGGGAGGGAGGAGAAGGGTGATAGGTAGAGAAAATAAATGCCTGTTAATTGAAAAAAAAAGTAATGAAAGAAAATAATGCATTGGTCCAGAGCTGTTCTTAGTGACTGCCTGCTGGTATAATTGCAGAAACCCTTTAAGCCCTCCAGGGTCTCCAGCAAAAGCACTACAGTCCTGCTGACAGATAAGTAGCAGTGCCTAAGGGAAATCCTAGGTGGCCAGAGTGCAAAAATGCCAGTTAATCCTGCTCAGCCATTCTAATTTACAGTTGTTATTTGTTTGTTTTGCTGCTTTTACATGTTTTTTCATCACTGCCATCAAACCACATCTCTCCTTTGTGATCTTCCCTAAAATAGTCTAGAGACTTAACAATCACTTAGAAATTTTCAGCCCCATTCCAATTCCAATTCAGTTTAATAATTATTTAGTAAGCGCCTTCTGTGTGCCAGTCACAGTGCTAGACGTGGAGGACGAAAAGACAGAAGGTAAAATAATCCTTACCCTCAAGGAGCTTACCTTCTGGAACTGGGAGGTGGGGTGGGTGGTGGGTGAAAATAGGACATGTACTGGTGTGTACAAATTTGGGGGAGGGGCACTTGGATGGAGACAGGAAAAACTTCGTGTGGAAGGCTATTCTGAAAGGAAGCTAGGGATTCTAATAGGTGGATGTGAAGATGGAGTGCATTCCAGGCATGGAAGGCAGCCGTTGAGAGAGACTAGGGCTGGGTATGAAATACTAATCAATCCAACCCATCGGAGCTAAAGGGGTCACTGAGACAGTATAGACAGAGAAGGGCAAAGGGGCTTGGGACAAAACCTTGAGGTATACCTACAGTTAGGGACCATGATATATGGATGATGAGTTTCTTAATTTGTAAAAATAAGGGGTGTAGACTTAATGGACCCTTCCAGCTCTAAATCTGTCCTCGCATGATGTGATGTTGCAGCGAAGGAGACTTGAAAAGAAGTGTCCAGACAGGTAGAGGGAGCTGAGCCAGGTCATGAAAATCCAGAGAGGAGAGATTATCCCAAAGGAGAGGGTGGCAAACGGGGCCACAAGCTACAGAGAAGTCAAGAAGGGAAAAAGAGAAAAGGCCATCAAGTTTATCAGTGAGATCATTGGTGACTTTGGAGAGCAGTTTCAGCTGAGTGATGAAGTCACAATCCATACTGCAAGGTGTTGAGAGACAGAAGAGAAGTACTCACAAATGGGAAAGTTTCCCTAGAAGTTTAACTGAGAAGGGGAGGAGAAATAAAGAATGACACATCTAGGTTGGAGTGGTAGAGCTGGTCAAAGATAAGGGAGACTTGGGCCTGTTTTGTAGGCAGTAAGAAAGGAACCATAATAAAAGACTTTTTTTTTTTACATTTAATTTTATTATTTTTCAATTAACAAAAATCTGTTGTCTCTTTCTATACTTTCCCCTTCCTGCCCCCTCCCCTTTGGAGAAAGAAAGTAAACCCTTGTAACAAATATGTATAGTCAGTAAAGACTATATTATATATTACATATATAATATATATTATATAATATATATTATATATAATATACAATATTTTATATATTATATATACACATATATAATTCTCTTTATATATGTTATGTATAATATATATACTATATAATCATATATATATATATTTTATAATTCTCACATTGGTTATGTCCAAAAACATGTCCTTTGGTCATATTTCAGTCTATACTGTGAGTCCCTCACCTAGTAGCATGTTTCATCATGGGTCCTCTGGAATTGTGGTTGGCCATTGTATTCATCAGAGTTCTTAAGTCTTTCAAAGTTCTTTGTCTTTACAATATTGTTGTTGT